GTTCAAGGCAGGGCAGTTTCTTCACGTATGTGGTGGACAACATGATGCTCTGTGCAGATCGCTCTTCAGGACCCTCCCTCGGACGGTCACGGTTTGTTGTCCCTCACTGCACAGTCCCTTGGCTGCAGCCATCTCCTTTGATTTAAACGGCAAGAAAGAAAGAAACAGGCAAATTTTAAGGTGAGTGAGAAAGGTTTTAAATATTAGAAATACTTTGGATATTTGAAGGCTAATAAGAGCACTGGAATCGCAAAGCAGGGATGTAAAGGCAGGTAAGGTTAGTGATCATCGATTTATCGTGATACTGGTTTGTGCAGGCGTGTGGCTCATTCGGATGCTACTCAGCTGTTGCTGTGAAAAACAGATCAGTGCACTCACTCTGGCTTGGTTTCTGCAGTGTAAGGGCAATCTAAGAAGACCCTGGTGGGAAATGAAGATGGTTTGTAAGGTTGTATCAAAAGAATGTAACATCATTGAATCTACCGTAGTGTGAGGTAATGAAACTTTGAAGGACCCCAGGCAATAGGAAGGAAGCATGGACACCAATGGATAGGAGATCCCAATAATGCCAAGGAACAGGAGGGATAAGAAGCTATGGGCAGAGAGTGGGGCCATTAACTTGTGATTGTGGAGGTGGAGCATTTTCAGCTGATGACAAAGAGCAAGGAATGGGGCAGCCTTAGTAGAGCAGAGCAGGAAATAGAAAGGAAAGACTCCGGCCACCTGGTTCAGTTGGTTAAGCGTCCAACTCTTGATTTCCGCTCAGGGCATGATCTCATGTTCATGGGATCAAGCCCCACATCAGGCTCTGCACTGATGATGTGGAGACTGCTTGGATTCTCTCTCTCTGCCTCTCCCATGCTCATGTTCTCTCTCTCTCAAAATAAATAAACTTCAAGATAAAGTGGGGGGGAAGGAAAGACTCAACTTTGGGGTAGGCAAACATGTTTTAGACAGGATGCAGAGGGCACGAGATATAAAAGTAAAAAATTATATAAATTTCTTTTTAAATATGGTTTATTTAAAAAGTCTTTAATGTTTTATTTTATTTTTGATAGAGAGAGAGAATGTGAGTGGGGAAGGGGCAGAGAGAGAGAGGGAGACAGATGGCTCAAAGCAAGCTCTGTGCCGACAGTAGATGCAGGGCTTGAACTCAAGAACTGTGATCATGACCTGAGCTGAAGTCAGATGCTTAACTGATGGAGCCACCCATGCGCCCTCAACGTAAAACATTGTAAATGAGACTTTACAATCATGTAAAACTTGAGCTTATTGAAGGGCAACATTAGGAAAGAGCAAGGGCAAGCCACTCCAGGAAGACAGACTCAGCATATTCAATGGCCAAAGACTCCTTTCTAGAACATAAAAATATTTCCCACAAATCCATAGTATGAAGACCACCTAGTTTTTTAAAGTGAACAAATATAAAAGCAGACACTTTACAAAAGAAAATAGAAACGTAGAAATGGCCAACAAGCAAACGTCATTACTCAATGGTGAAATGCAAATGAGATACCACTACATTCCCCATAGGATGGCTAACAATAAAAAGATGGAGGTCACCAAGTGTTGGGAGCCATTCTGAGCCCACTAGTCGAGAAAACTCCTGGTGAGGTTAAAGCAAGTTTGCACAGTGTCTTGCCAATCAGATGATGACTGATATCCACCCCCCACTCAATTATTTCTGCTTGAGCACTGACCCCTAAGGTACCTTGTTGATCAATATTGGGAGTGACTTGTCCCCTTATTCAGGCGCCTGGTATGATGATTGCACCTTGTGAAGGAACTTACTGTGGGAACTTCTTTTTTTGATTATGGGAATAGACATCGTGTCTCCAGAAGGTCCTGTTTTCCTCCATACTTTCTCTTGAGCTCTGAACAGGCTAATGACCCTTACTCGTGAAAGATTGACCTTTACATGTACAATTCTGTTTCTACCATTGTGTTAGTCCAAGATGTTCATACAGCTCAACATGTAAATCATCTATCCAAAAATTTCTTTCATGCTCTAGCTTTTCAAGAAATCATAAAATTAGACACTAAGGTAAATGCACTTGAAGAGGCTATTCTATGTATTGGAAATGAGCTAAACTCTTTAAAGGTATGGTTGGCTCTCCGGTGCAATAAAGAATATAACTGGAAAATCAAGTGTTGCCCAGAGACAAAGAACCTAACTTAGAAGGAACAGATAAGGGCAGAAGATAAGTTACTACATACACCTCTGCTAACTGGTGATGTACAGCAGCCCCTTCCCTAAGGCCTACATTACACAAACCCCTTCCCTTACCCTGGCAGCTGTGATGAGAATGGATAAGAGTCTCTACAAACCTATGACTTAATCTTAGTGTTATTAAAATGTGAACCCCCTGTTATTTTCTTAGTTACTCAACCTCACTATAATTGGGGCAGTTCTGCAAGAAGACTTCTGTAAAACCTGTTGCTGTATATTTTCCAAAAACATCTTATCACAGAGAGCTATCCATTGTAAAAATTCCATTTTCTGATGCCATGTTAACATTTGACCTATAAATAAAGACACCCAAACCGACAGGACAGAGATGCCTGCCTGGTGATCAGAAAGAATCTCAGGGCTCTCTCACTCCCTGCCTCGCCGACACTGTCCATCCTTCAGGGCCCCCTGGACCTGCAGAGCCGGCCTCCGACAACCAAGTGTTGGTGAGGGTGTGGAGCCAGGGGACCCCCAGCCCTCGGTATTGTAAATTGGCCACTTTGGAAAACAGTTCAGCTGTTTCTAATGAAATCAAATGTGTGTCCACCCTGTGAATCAGTAATTCAGTCTTCTCTCTATACTTGTGGGAAATAAATGCAGTTAGCCACAATTATTTGCACAAGAATATTCAGAGCAGCTAAGACTGGTACAAACCTGACATCCATCCACAGGAGAATGGATAAATGAGTCTTGCCACGTTCATGCAACGGAATACCACGCAGTAACAGGAAAGAATATACTGCTGATAAACACGAGTATGTCTCAAAAATACTAATTTTTGAGAAAAAGAAGTCAGTGAAAAAAGAACATTCTTTATATGGTTCTATTTATGTGAATGTCAACCTAAATAAAAAGGAAAACTGAGGTCAGCTCAAAATTGTCCAAAAGATGAGTTTTGGGAAACAGTAGAGGAAGTGCTAGTCAGGACAGGAAGACTGAATGAAGCAAGCTCCGGGGAGGTCCGTCGAGGGTTTGAGGTGGGCTGTTCTCATGAGCACGGACGGAAAGAGGGGAGAGCTCAGTCAGGTCTGTTAAAACTGATGACAAAGAGAGACCAGCTTTGAAAATACAGACAAAAACCAGTCTAGTCAGACAAACAAAGCGCAATTCAGCTTATTTTGCGAGACCAACATGACCTAGGTCATTCCTTGTTTATGCCTCTGGAAACCATAAGCAAAAATGGCGATATGGGGAAACTACTAACCAACTTCCTATTATTTAGGAAAATTCCAACATGAGCAGTTTTCTACAAATGAGGCATTTATGGGAACTCAGTCTCTCAGTCCTTACGTTTTGTTTTTCTGAGGGCTCACATGCATGAGATGTTTTCATTTTATATCCTCTGGTCCCATTTTAGATTGAAATTATTTCACATGAAATTCAAGTTTAGACAAAACTATGGTGATAAAAATCAGAAAAGAGGTTAGCTCTGGGAAAGAAATTGATTGGGAAGGAGCATGAGGAAACTTTTTCTCGGGTGATAGAAATGTTCTTTATCTTGATTTTGGTCATAGTTGCACTGGTGTATACATTTGTCCACATTTACCAAGCTGTACGTGTATCATGTGTTAATTTCAGTACTTTACTCTCTATTAATTGTACTTTAATCAAGTATTACTAAAGCATAAATAAGGTTCATAAAAGGTGGGAGATTTACACAATTTTACACTTGCATTCCACACAGTCCAATTGAAATGAATCACACATAAATAAGAGAAGAACACTCACACACATGAAATATTGAAAATGTTAGAAGTTCTCCAAGACTGAAATATATAAGCATCCAAATTTGGCATCAAAATAAACTGGGCTAATAAATTTGGGAAGAAACAATTGAGGATCAATGGCTGAGATTTTGAGGGTCAAAACCTTTAAAATAAATCCTGCAATGCTTCAGAAATCATTCCATGGATCCTCAACTGCCTTAAGCCCCTCGGTTTGGCAAGTTGACCATTTATTAGTTTCACCAGCCAGCATTTCATTCAGGCTTTCAGCAGATTATCCGGTCAAGCAGGCTGCTCCCCTCTGAGCGAGCAGGTCGTGGGCGAGCCCCCAGGAAATCACAGGTTCAATTACCTTGTTCAGGGTGAACGAGGGCAGCACAGGACCGCATGCTCATGGGGTCTGCACTTCCTGTAAAGCCCCACCATGGACCACCCAGTGTTGGAGCTAATGGACCCCAAGCCAGGCAACAATGTTCTTGGGTTCGGACTTTTACCTATAAGGGGCTGAGGAGGGAAATGGACCGTGGGGAGAATAAAACCATTGCTCAGTATAATTTTGTAATATTTTACAAGAAAAAAAAAAAAAAAAAACCCGAGGAGCTCATGGGTTTTAGTCCAAGCCAAGGAGATGGTAAGAATTCGGTGCACTGAACATTTCCCCTGAATGGTAAACTTCCCCTTGTATGTTTCATAAATTGTCATTAACAATTTCTTTTCCTCCAGAGAATTTTTGCAGGGTATGCAGTGTTTTTGAAGCCCAAGATTTTATGTAATAGTTTAGATCCAGAGAATCTCTGACCATCCAGGGAGTTTCAAGCTGCCTAGCTGCTTTCAGCTTTGTTCCTCTCCACTGAAATGACAGTGAACTATAAATTTCATGTTAGATGCTACTGTTTCTGTGCTTGACTCGATTGCCAGAATATTCCAGATTGAGTGGAATAACATTAGGTGCTCTTTGCTGAGGGACTCCCATTGCTGGGGAGTCAGGTGAAAGCCACTTAAGGTTATTCCCTCTCTTGAGGCGAGGCCTCAGGCAAGAGTTTCCTTCATGCCCGTGGCTGAACTTTTTGTGCAGAGAGCTGGTGGCTATGTGGGGCTGTGGATTCCCTGCTGGCACAGAAGTATAGAGACGTCTGGTTGGTGCTGGAGGAATCCAGGGTCAGGGGGAAATGCTCCTTCTTGTCTCGGGAGACACGGTACCCTTCTGTGACATCCCCTTTGGCAGTGCTGCCAGTACCACTTGAATAATGGATCAGCCTCAGGCCCTGTCCTGGGTCTTGTCGATACCAGTACATTGCAAAATGGTTCATATCCTGAGAACATTCCAGGACCATCTTGGTTCCTGCTTGTATAATATGGTGTCTTGGCGTCTGGGTGATTACAGCATCCACGGGGCCTGGGGGAGAGGGAGATGGAGGTTCAAGGCAAGGCTGAGGGCGTGACCTGAATCTGCAAAGCAAAGGGAAAGGCTTGGAGCTGGGACTTTGCAAAATCATGCATGGCCCAGCGCTCCAGCTAAGTCCAGAACTCACCTGCTCCCAGGAGACAAAGAGTCACACAAAAGAGGCTGAGGCTCATGGGGGCGGGGGACAGGGTGAGGAGGCCACTGTCCCAGATAAATGCTCTCATCTGCAGGACTGGAAGCTCTTCAGTGGACAAACGGATGTCCCTGCCTCCCACCTCTGCAGACTCTTCCTGGCCCAGGATCCCCTGTGACTTGGCTCGGGAGGGGTCAGCCACTCTCCATATAGATGTTGCTTAGCAAGGCCTGCAGGGGTGATGGGGTTTGGCTGCCTTGCACTGAGTGTAGGGTGCACCCCACCCCCTTGGTTTCCCATACTCCTCTGAGACAGTCTGCTCCTCTGTCTGCACCCGCCCTTGACATCAAGCCTGCCTCGTCCAAATCCTTCAACTGTGGAACTCATTAAAGTTTAGAGGGACCTCCCACCTCTTCCATAGCTGTAGGTAGCTTAGCAATAACGGAAAACTTAACATCTGCCTGGGATTGGATCCAAGCCTGTTTTTCTTAACCCTCTCCCTCCCTATGCTGCTCTCCCAGACTTTCCCCTGAGCCCCTCAGATCTCAGTGGCATCACGGTGCCATCTTGTGGCCAGTAACTGCAGTTTCATCATTGCTTCTGCCACGGCCCAAGGGATTCTGGGAATGTCTGCAGAATCAGCAGGGAGACTATTCCAGAAGTAGCATCTTGCAAACTTTTTTTAAATACAAAAATGTAATTTTTATTTATTCTTTTTTATTAATTATTGACAGAGACAGCGTGAGCGAGGGAGGGGCAGAGAGAGGGAGACACAGGTGTCAGCATGAGCCCAACGTGGGGCATGAACCCATGAACTGTGAGCTCATGACCTGAGCTGAAGTTGGATCCTCAACTGACTGAGCCACCCAGATGCCCCAGCATCTTGCAGATTTTATCCTCAACTTCTTTAAACCCTAATCCTGATACCAATCCTAACCCTGACTCTATTCCTCTGAGTTGTCATGCTTAATCTCCCACCATCATTCTACTTAACTGCTGTCACATATCTGGCAGTGAGAGTCCAACCAAAATCTTCTCCCTTAAAACAATCTCCTGGGGCACCTGGGTGGCTCAGTTGGTTAAGCATCTGATTTCGGCTCTGGTCATGATCTCACAGTTCGTGGGTTCGAGCCCCATGTCAGGCTCTGTGCTGACAGCTAGCTCAGAGCCTGGAGCCTGTTTCAGATTCTGTGTCTCCCTCTCTCTCTGACCCTCCCCTGCTCACGCTGTCTCTCTCTCAGAAATAAAGAAAACATTAAAAAAAACTATCTCCTGATCTCCTGAGGTGGAGAGGGACAAAATGGGAGGAATGGAAGAAAATAGTATTTAGTCTAATATTGGAAGAAAAGTACAGGAAATGAACTATAAGAAGGTTCATTTATCTCTGCTACTAAAAATAAACAAAAATGCCCCCCTTCTACCACCAAAGGGGCAATCAACCAACCGTACCTCCAAAATACAGATCAGCTGAGGACTAGGAATATAATGAGATTACTTTCACAATGGGGTCCAATGTGGGCAAATAAAAAGCAAAATTGGAATGTAAGAAAAATATGGAACATCTTACAAGACAATAGGCAATCACGGAGGATGCGGTGTCTAGTGGGAAAAATAAGGATGAATGGAATTAAGGTGAGCCGGGGACAGTTGACGCTAGACAGTTAGCTTGTACAACATGCATGTGCTGATTCAGGCAGCAAGGGGGGAATTGATATCATAAGGAGGCTGAAACTTCCAGGTTCACGTGGAGAATGGTGGCACATTTGGAGACAGGGTCTAGGAAGGAAGTCTCTGGAATGGCACTCAAGGATAAGGAATTCCCAACTGTGCCCTAGCTTTTCTGACTTCTGGAGACACAGGGTGCCAGAGTGAGCAATGCTTTGCTGATGCCACATTAAAATAAAAACTGGATTGAGGTGCCTGGATGGCTCAGATGGATGAGTGTCGGACTTTTCATTTTGGCTCAGGTCATGATCTCACGTTTACGTGAGATAGAGTCCTGTGTCGGGATCTGCACTGATAGAGTGGAGGCTGCTTGGGGTTCTTCCTCCCTCTCTCTCTGTCTCTCCCCATTTGTGCATACTCTCTCCCTCTCTCTCTCTCTCTCTCTCTTTCTCTCTCTTTAAAAATAAATAAAACGGAAAGAAAAAAAGACCAGGAACACTCTCTTCCAAGAACACTCATTCTCTAGGGAAAGAAATCTGGTGTCCTGAGCCTCCACAGTTTCTGATAAGTGGATTCGGGTTGATTGTAACCCCTTTACAAGGGTCAGGGCACCTCCACCATCGCAGAGTCAGTGACAGTCTATCCCAGACTTAGAGCCCTGGATTATCTCTTAGGACACCCAGAAACCCATGATCTATGATTCTATGAGCTCTGACCATGGCTTTTGATTTCACAGATACAAACCACAGCTCCACCGGCGGGCAAGTGGAGGATGTTATAACTGCATAATTATTTATATTTATAACAGTAATATATCACAATATACAATGCAGCAAATGAACCAGTAAAAAGGAAATTGGTGCATTATTATTCAGAAAATATCCTGTCTTCTTGAATCAAATTATTCAAGGAAATTTTTTCAAATGAAAAGGCCAGCGCGTCAAAGAAAACCCTGCACCTCTGAAAATTGGATTCACTCAGAGCGTCAAGGAAAGAATGGGGAGGCTATCCAAATCTGCTTAACTGTTACTACGAGGACAGAGGTGGTGGAACATTGACAACAGAGAGAGAAGATGGCTCGTCCAAACTGGGCAGAGGATGGGAGTCTTATCATCATTATGATCCTTCTTGCCGCATTACCTCCACAAAAGTGGTCAAGAGCTGATTTAAGCAGGAAGACAGACTTGCTCCTATGCTGCTCACAGCTTCCAAAGTTTCAGGGACAGAGAGGCTTTAGAAGAAAGAACATGGAGGTTTCAGGGAGGCTCAGTCAGTTGGGCATCTGACTCTTGATTTCGGCTCAGGTCATGATCTCATGGATTGTGGGTTGAGGCCCACGTTGAGCTCTGGGCTGACAGTGTAGAGCTTGCTTTGGTTTCTCTCCCTCTCCACCTCTTTCTGCCCCTCTGCGGCTCTCTCTCTCCCTCTCTATCTCAAAAGAAATAAACGTGAAAAAAAAAAAAGTAAGAATATGCCTGAGAATGGCAAATTTCGCAGATGGGAGCATAAGTGCAGAGGAGGAGGGAGTGCCCACCACACGGAAAGCCTCAGGTCCCGCAGAAGGACCGCTTGTGTCCCGGACCTTCACTCCTCGCCTTGGAGCCTGAAGCCCGCTCGGGGAGTCCTCCTCCCGATGGTCCATGAGTAGGTCATCCACCCTCATTTAGATTCGTTTCATGCGGTTTATCCAGTGTCTTCCTCTACGCTCAGGCCAGCTGATAGCTGATGTGCGAATCTACTTCTTTCTATTGGGGAACGAAGGGCACAGACAGTTGTTTAGGGTCTCCGGGTGCAGCCGGGAGAGAGAAGTCTGAGGTTGGTGAAGAGGAAGGAGGTGGCTGTGCCCCACTGTGGTAAGGCTGCTGGCACAGAGGTACACAGCCGAGTCCCCCGGCTCTGCTCGCTGGATCTGCAGAGTGGAGTAGGTGCCCTCAGGCCTCTTTGCCTGGAACCGATCATTCTTGGGCATCCCTGAGGAGTCTTATTCCCTTTGGTTTTGGAAGGAAATGAGAAACTCCGGGCCTTGCCCCCGGGCCTGTCGGTACCAATAAAGGCCAGCGTGACCAGAAATTGGATCACACCTGAAGGTCACGTTCCAGCCCCGCATTGTGACCTTGTGCCGGGGGGACTGGAGGACGCCAGCACCTGTGTGACCTGTGGAGACAATGTTGGGAACAGTGGGAAGGAAGTCAACTATAATCATTGCACACGGTCATCACTCACGCTCACACACAGGTTCTCACGGGCTCACTGAAACTGCTTGGTTTTCTGAGGACGTACCTGCCCCCAGGAGACAGAGGGCCACGCAGCAGAGGAGCCTGGTGCCCATGGCGGGGTCAGAAGAGGACCCGGTTGTTCAGCACATCAGGTTCTCCTGAGCATGAGCCTAGGAGGAGGGAGGTCCCTCATGCACAAGGCAGTTCCCTTAGTGACATCACCACCGCTGTCAATCCCCTCCTCCTCTGGGAACGTGATTCATGCTGTAACATTCTTGGATGACTAATTTAATATTTGTCAGTACCTCTCTTTTTTAAAAATTATTTATTTTTAGTTTTTTAATGTTGATTTTTGAAACAGAGAGAGACAGTAGGTGAGCAGGGGAGGGGCAGAAAGAGAAGAAGACACAGAATCCAAAGCAGGCTCCAGGTTCCGAGCTGTCAGCACTGAGCTAGAGGAAGGCTCAAACGCATAAACTGGGAGATGATGCCCAAGCTAAGTCGAGGCTTAACCTACCGAGTCATCAAGGCACGCCGAAAATTATTTATTTTGTGAGAACGACAGAGCATGAGAAGTGGAGGGACAGAGAGAGGGAGAGAGAAAGAATCCCAAGGAGGCTCCACACTCAGAGGGGAGCCATATGTAGGGCTCGATCTCACGAACTGTGAGATTGTTACCTGCGCTGAGACCCAGAGCTGGACACATAACCGACTGAGCCCCCAGGCGCCCTGTTAGCCCCTTTCTTCACACACTCAATGCATGTTGTCCCTTTCAGCTCCAGTGCCGTCTGGGTAGACGGGCTCACACTGTGTGTTACGTTATCTTCCTTCTGCAGGCCAAAGACCCGTGCGCTCTCTCTGTTCATGAATCTCTGTGAGGTAGTGAGTCCCCACATCCCCTAGCAAAGCCTCATATTATCATAAGTCACCACGCATTAAAATTAGGTTCCTCCAGGGGCCCCTGGCTTGCTCAGTCGGTTAAGCATCAACTTTGGCTCAGATCTTGATCTTACAGTTTATGAATTGGAGCCCCACGTTGGGCTCTGATCTACAGTGTAGACCTTCCATTGGATTCTCCCTCTCTCCCTGTCTCTTTCTGCCCCTCCTTTGCTCTCTCTCTCCCTCTCTACCTCAAAAGAAATAAATAATCATGAAAAATAAGGAGTAAGACTATGCCCGAGAACGACACACACTTCCCAGATGGGAGCACAAGAGCAGAGGAGGAGGGAGTGCCCACCACACAGAAAGCCCCAAGTCCCGCAGAAGGACCGCTTGTGTCCCGGACCTTCACTCCTCGCCTCGGAACCTGAAGCCGGATCGGGGAGTCCTCCTCCCGATGGGCCATCCACCATCATGTGGTGTATTTCACCCACCCTCATTTAGATTCATTTCATGCGGTTTATCCAGTGTCTTTTTCTACGCTCAGGCCAGCTGATAGCTGATGTGCGAATCTACTTCTTTCTATTGGGGAACGAAGGGCACAGACAGTTGTTTAGGGTCTCCGGGTGCAGCCGGGAGAGAGAAGTCTGAGGTTGGTGAAGAGGAAGGAGGTGGCTGTGCCCCACTGTGGTAAGGCTGCTGGCACAGAGGTACACAGCCGAGTCCCCCGGCTCTGCTCGCTGGATCTGCAGAGTGGAGTAGGTGCCCTCAGGCCTCTTTGCCTGGAACCGATCATTCTTGGGCATCCCTGAGGAGTCCAATTCCCTTTGGTTTTGGAAGGAAATGAGAAACTCCGGGCCTTGCCCCCGGGCCTGTCGGTACCAATAAAGGTCTTCGTGACCAGAAATTGGATCACACCTGAAGGTCACGTTCCAGCCCCGCATTGTGACCTTGTGCCGGGGGGACTGGAGGACGCCAGCACCTGTGTGACCTGTGGAGACAATGTTGGGAACAGTGGGAAGGAAGTCAACTATAATCATTGCACACGGTCATCACTCACGCTCACACACAGGTGCTCACGGGCTCACTGAAACTGCTTGGTTTTCTGAGGACGTACCTGCCCCCAGGAGACAGAGGGCCACGCAGCAGAGGAGCCTGGTGCCCATGGCGGGGTGAGAACAGGACCCGGTTGTTCAGCACATCAGGTTCTCCTGAGCATGAGCCGAGGAGGAGGGAGGTCCCTCATGCACAAGGCAGTTCCCTTAGTGACATCACCACCGCTGTCAATCCCCTCCTCCTCTGGGAACGTGATTCATGCTGTAACATTCTTGGATGACTAATTTCATGTATGTAAGCTCCTTTTTTCTAAAAGTTTATTAATTTATTTTTAATTTTTAAGTATTTATTTTGAGAGAGAGAGAAGCAGAGTGTGAGCAGGAATGGGGCAGAGAGAGGGAGACACCGAGTATGAGGCAGGTTAGAGGCACTGGGGTTTCCGCACTGAGCTGGAGGAAGGCTTGAACTCATAAACTGGGAGATCATGACCGAAGGTAAGTCGAGGCTTAACTGACCGAGTCATCAAGGCACGCCGAAATGTATTTATTTTGTGAAAACGACAGAGCATGAGAAGTGGAGGGACAGAGAGAGGGAGAGAGAAAGAATCCCAAGGAGGCTCCACACTCAGAGGGAAGCCATATGTAGGGCTCGATCTCACGAACTGTGAGACTGTTACCTGAGCTGAGACCCAGAACTGGACACTTAACCAACTGAGCCACCAGGTGCCCTGTTAGCCCCTTTCTTCAGACACTCAGTGCACGTTGTCCCTTTCTGCTCCAGTGCTGTCTGGGCGACGGGCTCACACTGTGTGTTACGTTCCTCTTCTCCTTCCCCATGTCTCCTGTCTGCTGGGCATTGTCACCGAGGTGTGTCTTCAGCACCTTGAACACAAAGGGGGACCTGATTGTCTTAGCTGCGAGGCAGGATCTCCTGTGGGTATTGCTGTTTGCCACCATCCCCTCTGTTCTCCCAGGGATACATACTGAACTGTATCCACTTCCCTGGCAAGGGTGTGCACTGGGGTTGACTCATGTTACCCTAGAAGCCTTTTGAATGCACTGACCTATTCAGAAGTACAGGGATGAAATACTCCGGGGAAATATCTGAGTTGGAAGCCTCTATTCCTTCTGCAGGCCAAAGACCCATGCCCTCTCTATGTTCACAAATCTGTGAGGTAGTGAGTCCACACAGGCCATAGCACAGCCTCATGTCGTAATAAGTCATCATGCATTAAAAATTAGATTCTTTCGGGGGCCCGGGTTGCTGAATCAAGTAAACATCAGCGTTGGCACAGGTCATGATCTCAATTCGTACGTTGAGCTGTGCATCAGGCTCTTGATCTTCTGTCCCCTCTCCTAGCGCCTCCCCTGCTCATTCTCTCTCTCTCTCTTTCTCTCAAAATAATTAAACTTAAAAAAATTCATATATCTTTATTTCTTTCCAATTTAATGACAACTTTGGTTGTATTCTTTTACATTTTGAGGTGTGTTTTCTTCTAGCTGTTCTTTCTTTTGTTGATGTCAGGTTATTTTTACTGCTCTCCTTCCTCCCCAGGCCTGCTTAAAGTCTGTTTATTTTATTAGCTCCCTTAATTATGTCTGTCATTGTTGAGTCTCATTAATATATTTTGTTCATGTTTCATCTACTTTTGTTCTTTATATTTGCGATTTTACTTCTTTTACTTTGGGGAAGATTATTTTATACTCATTCTATGCTATCAGCTTGATACTTAGATGAGTATTTTTTTTTTCAACTCATAAGCCCTATGCATCTATAAATTTCCCTCAAAGTACAGCTTTTGTATTCTCAGTATCTCTTATTTCTAAACATTTTTAAATTCCTATTTAGAGTTCTGGTACAATCTCTGGATTTACTTCGAATTACGTGTTACATTCGTAAATATGAGATTTTATTTTTCAATAGTCTACTTTTGTGTTTTCTTTTCACCTTCAATGTATGGTTGTCAGAGAAGTTTGTCTTTATGATGCCTGTACTTTACAACTGATTGAAAGACAAGTCTGCAGTTAGGGCCTGGAAAGTCTAGAACACAGATACGCCAACTGTGTCTGCCATTCCCCTGGGAAACAGGTGTGTCCAGAAAGGCCAGCACCCAGGGGAACCTTGAACAGGAGCGTTAGTGGGAGTCAGCCATTACAAGAATCAAGGACCCATGTCCAGTGCAGAGGAAATAGCCGTGGATGCCCCTGAGATGGGAAGGGAGATGGCAGAGTTGAGGGCCTAGCAGTGTGGCCAGAGAAGAGAGGGCCCACAAGCGACGCAAGCTGGGCCCGGAGGCAGGTAGAGGACTGAACCCGCAGGGCCTTGTTGGGGGCTGTCCCCAAGGAAAGGCTGGCAGCAGCAGAGTTCATACTAGGCAATTGGAGAGCAGTGCACTGAGGTGCCAAGGAGAGACGAGGGCGTGGGGTCTAGATAGATCTGATTTAGTACTACGCTGTTAATAATACATTGTATTGTTTATACAGTGCAGACAACTTCCATCCTGGAGGCATCAGACTTAGGCAGGTGCCTGGAACAGTGGAAGCACCCTCCCAGCCAGCCAGGAGGCTCAGAGCACAGGCAGACCAGAGGGTGGAGAGACAGCCTCCTGAGGTCTGGTGGGTCCGGGCCCGGCTGTCAGTGCCTTGCAGATGGACCTCAGCACACACCGAGGTTCACTCTGAGCGCTTGAGACCCTAGGGCTCTGGGGTTCCTGGGGGGCTGGGGCTCTGCGGAGGGCTCTGCTGAGGCCCGGGGTGGTGCAGGCCCTCCCTTGGCCTATTTTTGTGAGGAGAGGAGGCAGCTGTGCAGCTGTGTGTAGTCAGTGCTGGCAGAGAAGTACACAGATGTCTGGGAGGGAGTGGTGGACGCCAGTGTGAGGAGGAAGTTCTTTGTAGTTGACCTAGAGACATTGTACCCATCGGAGATTTCTCCTTTCTGAGTGGTACCAACGTTGATGGAGTAATGGATCAGCCGCAGCCCGTGTCCAGGGTCTTGCCTATACCAGTACATGTAGTCGTGGTTCGTGTCCTGTTCGCATCTCAGCGCCATGCTCCGTCCTGTCCCCAGGACCTGGAATTTGGGGGTCTGAGTGATGCCAGCATTCACGGGTCCTGCGGAGAAGGAGACAAAGCTGATGTCGCAGACACAGTGGAAAGGCTTAGCACTGGAACCTTGAGATTTTCACTCATGAAAGGGGACGCTGCCCAGGTGCCCAGGACTCGCCTGGCTGCAGGAGACACGTGGCCACACAGCAAAGGAGGATGAGGCTCATGGCAGGGCCAGGGCGGACGGAGGGGTCTTCTGGGAATGTGTGCTGAGGAACGGGGAAGGAGGCTCTCGGGGGAGGCATTCGGAGACGTCACTCTTCCCGCCTGGGCCCCAGAGCCAGCCCTCGCGAGGAGCCACAGCCTTTCCCCAGAGGGTCAGATTAAAAAAAAAAAAAAAATCAATGTACACGTGAATAGCTTAGGATGGGAAGAAAGGGCTTGTCTGAATTGACACAAGTCTTACGAGTGGATCTTCACTTTTTTGTAAAACAGTTTGTAACCCTATGTGTTGTTTTCTTCCAGTGATAGACTTCTTCATGAATGTGCTAGTTCTCTGTGTCTGCATCTTTCTGTAGTTTTGAACTGGGGAAAAATCCTTAGGTCTTCCTGACACCTTTTATGACTCGTGTGTCCCAGATCCTCCTTCAAGTATCCATTTCCACTTTGCTTCATTGACCACTGTCCTGTTAACATCCTTCCAGTGACAATTCTCCTGATACCGGATTTCCAAACCTCAAGGGCAGGCTCATCAGCTCCTGAGGAACCGTTTTGCTCTGTTTCTTACCAATTCAGGACACCTACCAAATGTCGCCAGAGCACCCTCACGTTCACCAGAGCACCTGCCTCCCACATTTGGGCTGAGACAGCAGCAAGCAGAACGATGTCACACCTGTGAGTGACCTTTCCTTGTGGCAGGATGGTGGCTCTTCAGCAGTGCCCGTGAAGTGTTGGCACGGAAGTTTTCACGTGTGTGAGGGACCGTGGGGAAGTGGCCGCGTCCAGGGTAAGTGAAAAATGCTCTTTTTTTAATGAGACATGCATCCCATGGGGAATATCTTCTTGTGGAGTACAGCTGGCATTAATTACGTAATAAAGACAGGGGAGCTCAGAAACTATCCTGATGCTCACAATCCCACACTTGGAAAGACCCCACGGCCCGGCGTCAGTGCCGGGCTATTGTGATTGATCTTCAAATGCTTGATAATATTTAAACCATGAGCTCTGCAAATTATGTAGTGGGTCCTGGGTGCATGATTTTGTGTTTCCTTACTGTGGTCACCTGCTGGTGTGCTGCTTTCCCTTTAGCATGATCACATGTCTAGGGACTCCGTGAATCAGCATCTCTGGGGTCTTGGGAAGGACACAGACACTAAAGCTGGAACCCGAGGGGACCCTGATGTTATAGCCACAACGTCAAGCCTTGAATTGGGGCCTTGCTAGCCCATGAGGGGATTTCAGGACTGTGCCTGTGATGTCGCTGGTCCAGGGGACAGAAGAACCCGCCGGGAAAGGAGAATGGTGACAGCCCAGAATGGAAGGGGGGGATGTTCCAGTTCAACTCTCGTGTTCTGAGGGTTCGGTGCTGGGCTCAGACAAAGGGAGCCCTTTTCGCAACATGGAATGATCCGTCTCACAATTGCCTGTGGTCTGCTTAGCCCCAGCACACAGTGTGTGAACATGAAGCTTAGCTCTGTGTGCGTCTGATAGGATCTCAAAATTATGTCCTCGGAGATGATGAATTTGTGTCAAAACATTATTATAAAATGATTTGAACGAAGGAGTGCATGAGAAAAGAAATGAACTAAAATGAGTAAATTTTATAGAAACAGCTTCAAACAGCTAGACAGAGCTTTTGATGATCCTTTTATCAAACCATTTGTCTCCGGATAGAATTGTCCCTCACATGGACCAGGTACTCACATGATTTCAAGCACTCCTTATCCATAGAACTTTCTAGAAGTACCTCACTCTCTTGAATATTTATCTGTGAATTATTTTAATGGGTAGAGACTTGAAATGGCCATTAAAATGGTGCCTGAGCAAAATTATGGCAATAGAAATCATATCACTAGTTTGTCAGAGATGGAGAGAGGTGTTGCAAAGGGGCATGAAAACTTTCTGGGTGATAGAAATGTTCTATATCTTAGTGGAGTGTGTACTACATGGGTATATACATATAAATTGCAAAAAAAATCATTAATCTCTTCATTTAAAGTGTGGAATGCTTATTGTATACAATTCTTGTGTCAATAATTTATTTTAAAATGGCTGTGAAGGGTTGTATGTTACATGCTCTAGACAATTTCATAATGAACCACCAGACATAAATATTACCACTTCTGTGACAGCTATAGGAGTTTTAGGTTAAATGTGTCCATATCTACCTTTGCACATCGGAAATGGTGGAAAAAGCTGCCAGAGATTAGCACAAGGAACCAAGATATCCAGATTCTTATTATGTGCTATGCTAGGTACTTTGGCTTATTAAATGTTATTAATGGTTTAAAAAAGTTATTTTTAAATGTTTATTTATTTTTGAGAGAGAGACAGAGACAGAGAGTGAGTGGGGGAAGGGCAGAAAGAGAGGGAGACACAGAATCTGAAGCAGGCTATAGGCTCTGAGCCGTCAGCACAGAGCCTGACATGGGGCTCAGATTCACAAACCGTGAAATGATGACCTGAGCCGAAGTTGGACGCTTAACTGACTGAGCCACCAAGGTGCCCCTAAATTTTTTATACAAACCTAGAAGTTGGTATGATGGCTAATTTTATGTGTCAACTTGACTGGACCACAGGGGACATAGAAACTCGGTTGAATATAATTCTGGGGGTTCCTGAGAGTGTATTTTTGGATGTGGTTAACATTTAAATAGGTAGATTTTAACAGTAGGTGAGAGTAACATTTTAATCAGTAGAGTAAAGGAGGTTGTCTTCCATAATGTAGGTGGGCCTCATCCATTCAACTGATGACCTGAATAGAAGAGAAAGACTGATTCTACCCCAGGTAAAGAGAATTGTCCAGCTGATGGCCTGCAAACTGAGACATCAACTTTTCTTGCTCAACAGCCTTTGAACTTGGACATCAGCTCTCATATATATATATATATATATATATATATATATATATATACATAGTCTGTTTTGTTTCTTTGGAGTACTATGAGTGATACTGATAGACATTGTTACTCTCATTTCCTACATGAAAATTCTCAGCCCGACATGTCAAGAAACCGGGTTCAGGCCTTGACGAGTGGCTTGTATTGGAGTTGGAATTAGAACCAGGTATACAGGGGACCTGGCCGGACTTGTTTTCCACATCACTTTCTCCTGGGTAAGCTCATCTCTGTTGATGATTTCATTAGAGCTACCCAGGCTGAGAAGAGGCAGCAGCACTCAGATTTTGAGTGCAGACATCCCTGTGAATATGCATGATGGCATAGAGTTGTAAACACAGCCCTCAGGAGTCCGGCAGACCTGGGTTTGAGTCCCACATCTGCACCTGACCAGCTGATACTCGATTTGATCAACTACTTTAACTTAAGGGCAAATCCCTTCGTCTCTAAAAAGAGAGTAGTCATTGCGTTTGCCTTTTAGGCTCTTTTTCTCATCATTAATTGAAATTTTGCAAATAAAGGACTTTTCTTTGGCATATGGTAAGCTGTCAGAAAATAGCGTTATTTCCTTCTGTGAGTCTCTCTACCTGCTGCAGAATTGAACCGTGTTCGTGCATCGATGTACTCAGCACTTGCAGTTTTGTGATTCTCCTGCACTCATGTGGCAGGTGAATCCAGTAGAAATAGTCAACTATTTAGGACAAATGTTATGCATTTAATACTGCAGATGCTAAAACTGTCAAAGACAAGAAACACACTGATTTTCATTTTGTATTTTATGTGATACAGTACCTTGTACAAAGCAAGAGACCCACAACAGTTTGGGTGTGTTCCTTTCCAGGATGAGGTTGTGATAATCACATGTGGGTGCATGATCTTTCCTGTCCTGCTGAAATGGACCTGGGAAGGGAAGCCAGATCAGGAGACAGTTCTATGGGGGGGTGGGGTGGGGGGAGGGGACCACAGGTGTTGAGGAGCAGAGCTGGGTTTGATTCCTTGCTCTGAGACCTGGGAAAGCTACTTCCCCTCATATATGTAAACCAGGAAAAGAATACTTAACCTTGCATGATTTCTGTGAGCATTAAGACCTATCACACACGTGAACAGCAGAACGGGCATCTGGGAGAGGCCTGCCCGCTTTACCAGGGCCAGAGGCCATGTGGCTGGCAGCCACCACCCTCGCCATCACTTCCTGAGCTGGGAGTGGAATATTTTTGTACAGTAGGCTGTGGAGGGCGCAGGGCTGTGTCAGGGCTGCTGGCACAGAGATAGACGGCCGTGTCCGTCAGCTCCAAGGAGCTCATGTTTAGCTCAGAGTGATAGTCGGGGAACTGTTGACACGAGAATCGTTCCGAGAAGTTTCCTTTGTTATACTCTTTCCTGTCGTAATACTGAATGAGTATCTGGGGGCCCTGGCCCATGGCCTGTTGGTACCAGTACAGAGATAGGTGTCCAGAGATAGGGGAACAACTCAGCGTCACTTGCTGTCCTCTTCCTTTGACCAGGTGTCTCGGAGTTTGGGTGACTCCGGAATCCACTGGGCCTGTTGGGGAGGAGGGAGAAAGAAGCAGAGGGCAGAGCTCAGGGGGAAGCCTCCTGCTGCGGCCATCATCGGCAAGCCTGTATTACACGGATGGCAAACGCGTATTAGAGGCTTTCACGCTGCGCCCAGGTCTCACCTGCTCCCAGGAGACAAAGGGCCACGCAGCAGAGAAGCCTGGAGCCCATGGCAACACTGGGAAACCAAGATATCACTCAGCTTGGGGGTGGGGTCTTTGGGGGCGAGCAGCCGAAAGCTCTGAACCTCCCATTTCCCTGAAAGCCGTATTTGCCTATGATGTCACACGACTCCCACGTGGCTGCTCTGGTGACTCTGCAGGGCTGTGCCTGGCCGCTGGCACAGAGATACACAGCCGAGTCCCGCGGCTCTGAGAAGTTCATGTGCAGAGGAGAGACAGTCACCCAAATGTTGCATGGACAGCTAAGCTGACAAGGGTCGTTTTGCTCTCTGTAACTCATCATAATGTGTAAAGAGGAGCTGGGGGCCCTGACCCAGGGCCTGCTGGTACCAAGATCCGCTGGGGTGCCCGGAGAGAGGGGAATGTCTCAGTGTCACTTGCCGTCCGCTTGCTTTGATCCAGTGTCTTGGAGTTTGGGGGGCTCCAGAATCTACTGGGTTTGCGAGGGAAGGACACAGGGGCTGGGGACCGGATGGGAGAGGGAGCCCGATGTGTCATGCATTCAGCTGCTGTCACGCTTAGAGCAGAGATGTCCCACTTGGACAAGGACACACTTGCTCCCAGGAGACAAAGGTCCACACGGCAGAGGAAACTGCAGCCCACGGCGGGGGGCGGGGGTGGAGGGGCAGAACCGCACAGGTGCCTCCCCGCTCAGAGCTCTGGGTCTCTGAGAGCTGAAGCTATGGGCCTCCCTTTTCTGGCTGGAGGCCAGGCAGTCATGTCACTGCTCTGACGTCATTATCCTTTCTGGCTCCCATGAGCCTCCCTTGCCAGGCCCCCGGCTACGTTGATCCAGGAACCCGGCCTAGTCCTGCAAAGCCCGTCACACGTGGGGCGGGGCCGGGACAGTCTAGACTAGCTGGGGTTAGGCCACCTGCCTGTGTCCACACTTCCGTGGCTTTTCCTCTGAGGCGGTGTCCCTCTACCTGTTTCTGCCCAGGGCAAGGAGTCTGCCCCCTGCCGGCACCCACTGCACTTTTCACCCCTTGCAAGCTGAGAGACTCCCTAATCGCAGCCAAGCTGAAGGTTTGGGCCCTGATGGGACTGCACAACACAATTAAAATTAGCGCTTATAGCATTAAGCCTTGTAGTGGAAAAAAGCTCCAGGCAAGGCTTTCCTTAGCCCTCTGGGTCCGGGTAGCCGGCTCTATACCTCTGCTCTGCCCCAGCACCTTTTGGCGCTTGGCGGTTCCACAGTGCCCCCATGTGGCCTCTGGGCAGTAATCAAGATTTTGCCTCCACCATGATGAGAGTCCTGGGGTGTGTTTAAATTAGAAACTAGGGCGCCTGGGTGGCTTAGTCGGTTAAGCGTCCGACTTTCGCTTAGGTCATGATCTCACGGTTCGTGGGTTCGAGCCCAGCGTCGGGCTCTGTGCTGACTGCCAGCTCAGAGCCTGGAGCCTATTTCAGAGTCTGTGTCTCCCTCTCTCTCTGACTCTCCCCTGCTCACGCTGTCTCTATCTCTCTCTCCTAGAAATAAATAAAAATATTAAAAAATAAATAAATAAATTAGAAACTATTCTGGGGCACTTGGGAGGCTCAGTGGGTTAAGCTTCCAACTTCGGCTCATGTTATGATCTCATAGTTCATGGGTTTGAGCCCCGCATCTGGCTCTGTGCTGACAGCTGGCTCAGAGCCTGGAGCCTGTTTCAGATTCTGTGTCTTCCTCTCTCTGACCCTCCCCTGCTCGTGCTGTCTCTCTCTTAAAAATAATTAAAAGCTAAAAAGTAATAAATTAGAAACTATTGCATTCTTTGTCTATTGCACTATTTTTTTATTCCTTCCCCCAGCCCCAAAAGACCAAAAAACAAACAAACAAAAACAGACAAAAGATAGACCTAGCTACATTGTAATAAAAAGAAAGGTGACCGGAGGAAATGTTTTGCTTTTGAGACAATTCCCAGTAAACCTAGCCCAGGTTAGAGGGCGCTGCTTAAGGAGGAACCTTGGACGAGGTTACAGAGACAGCCTGTCTGACTGTACAGCCTGTCTGACTGTGAAGGGACTCACAGGGAGTTTGGGATGACTAGTAACTAACTGACCTTGGTTTGTCTCTGCTGACCCCAGACAGCTTGCTCAAGGCAGACTGTTCAGACAGGTCTCTTTGCAACGTGTCTGCTAATCAGCTTATCCCGAAATAAAGAAAATAATACTCACTGTTACCCTATTGCTAGAGAATTTTTCTTTCTTTCTTTCTTTCTTTCTTTCTTTCTTTCTTTCTTTCTTTCTTTCTTTCTTTCTTTCTTCCTTCCTTCCTTCCTTCCTTCCTTCCTTCCTTCCTTCCTTCCTTCCTTCCTTCTTTCATTTTATTTTTAAGTAATCTCTACACCCAGTGTGGGGCTCAAATCCACAACCCCGAGATCAAGAGTCTCTTGCTCTACCTACTGAGCTAGCCAGGAGCCCTTGGAGAATTTGTCTTTCTCTTCTAATCTTGCTCTTTTAGAAACGCTCTTTCTGCCTCTGTTCATTGATACCAGAATGCCCATTTCTCCGTTTATGATTGCATATGTGCATGTGATTAAATTTCTCTAAACTTTCTTCAATGCCCAAGTAGGAAATAAAATATTCTAACCCTCTGTACAGAATGCTAGGAAGGAGAAGCAAGCCAGTCTGGATTAAAGTAAAGTAATAAATAAATAAACAGAGGAATTTGGGAAAACAGAATCTGAGAAGGATTTTAATTCCTAAACCAGTTAACATTCATCCACTTGCTACTTCCAATGTACATTTCTTTCACTATTTACATTTGACTCAAATGTTGCTAAATTTTAAATAGTGCAATTTACAGAGGTGCCTGGGTGGCTCAGTCGGTTAAGTGGCCGACTCTTGACTTCCGGTCAGGTCATGACTCACGGTTCATGAGTTGGAACCCGGCATCAGGCTGGCAGCATGGAGACCGCTTGGGATTCTCTCGCTCCCTCTCTCTGCCCCTTCCCTGCTCACTTGTGCTCTCTCACTAAATAAATAATAACACATTTTAAAAAGAACAGTGCAATGTATAAAGTGAATATGGATATTCTAATATAATCTATTTCTTGACTTTCTAAATCTGAAGGCAAAGCCCTGCAGCAGATATCACTGAGAAGAGGTCCCTGATGCAGCCGCAGCTGGCATTGTGATGGTCACCAGCTCTGATGCCAATGAGCTATGATCAGGGACCCCTTTTCAGATGCCACCCAGAGGAGGAAAATCCCAGCCAGAGTGAATCTCCGTGGATATAAATGAGACAAAATTATCTCAAACCCAGATGGCAATGGTCTTTAACTGAATACTTTATATGAATTTTATGCATATGTAACTCATTAAAACCTGTTATCATAGCAGCTGATGTGTCTGATGGAATTTCTGATGACAGAAAAGGAGAAGTTTCCACACCAATGCATAGAAATATACACTATGAGTATAAACCACACTAAGAAAATATGTTTCTCCGCTTTAAAGAATACCTGGCATATTTTTATTCAATTAGACAAAATTCCTGGATTGCCAATCAATTCTATTTTATTTTAATGTTTATTTACTTTTTTAAGAAATATTTTATTTATTTCAGAGAGAGAGAGAGAGAGACAGTGTGAACAGTAGAGGGTCAGAGAGGGAGACGGAATCTGAAGCAGGCTCCAGGTAATGAGCTGTCAGCACATAGCCCGATGCGGGGCTCGAACCCACAAACCTAACCTGAGCGGAAGTCGGACGCTTAACCGACTGAGCCACCCAGGCACCCCAATGTTTATTTACTTTTGAGAGAGAGAGTGAGTGCAAATGGGAGAGGAGCAGAGAGAGGGGGAGACACAGAATCTGAAGCAGGCTCTGGGCTTTGAGCTGTCAGCACAGAGCCTGACACGGGGGTGAACCCATGAACTGTGAGATCATGACCTGACCGGAAGTCAGGAGTCGGCCACTTAACCGACTGAGCCACCCAGGTGCCCCTGTAAATTGCACTATTTAAAATTTAGCAACATTTAAGTCAAATGCAAATAGTGAAAGAAATGTACATTGGAAGTAGCAAGTGGGTGAATGTTAACTGTTTTAGGAATTAAAATCCTTCTCAGATTCTGTTTTCCCAAATTCCTCTGTTGGAAATAATGTTGCTATGAACATTGGTGTGTTAATATCTGTTCAAATCCCTGCTTTCACTTCTTTGAGGAGTATTATGGGGTAATTTTATGTTTAAGTTTTTGAGGAATTGCCATACTATTGTCCACACTGGCTGTGCTATTTTACCTTCCCGTCAGGTTATCTTTACCACCTCATCAACACTTGTTACTTTCTGTCTTGTTTTCCCTTTAATATTATCACGCTAATGGGTATGATGTTCTTGAATTTTTGAAATTAATGGGAAAGCATAGTGAAGTTCTCTCTTCTTCCTTTTTTTTTTTTTTTTTTTTACTGTTGTTATTGTAAATGTACTACTTTTCAAACCTCAAGTCTCAGGTCAACATTGGCTCCAAACTTTGGGCAAATAGCTTTTATCTATAAGATCCACTCTATACTTTTTTGAAAATGAGACAGTCTTTCCTTACATGGAGTGGACATTAGAAAAACACGATTCTAGTTTTGATGTTGCTGCCGTCCGTGAGTAAGGGTCCGGTGAATCAGATTATGCCTTGGAGACAAGTCTTCATGAAGCGAGCACAGGGCACATGCTGGCCTCCAAGCCCCCCACAGCTCACCTGGAGTGTGATTCCAGAAGAAGTAAAGAGTGCCAACTGTAATTCAACAGGGGCTTGCTTAAAATGTGCAGCTGGTGGGTGAGAGGGGGCGGGAAAGGGCTTCTGTGCTTCCTTCTGTTTAGAGCAGGGGCCTTGCAAGCAGGAGTCTACCTGTTCTTTCCGAGCTGAGCGGCTGTGACGGCGCAGTCTTAATGGAATTACAGGCGAGCACAGAAGTGCAGAGAGGTCTGGTGGGTGCTGGTCGACTCCAGAGTCGAGGGGAAATTCTCCGTATCTTTTTGAGACACGTTGCCTTTAAGCACATCTTTTTCTGACCATAAGCTCAGCACTATCTGACTAATGAATCCGGCTTGGAGTTCAGTCCA